ATTTTTATCCTTACTAATGCTATATTTAGCAGTTTTACCCGGGCATTAAACTGTTGCGAAATTTGAAATGTTGGATGGTTGAACACAACATACTATCAGGCACAGCTTTAGGCAAATAATGTTACAGACAGCCCATTGTGGTGATGATATTTGAACAGATAACATTACAGACAGCTCGTTACTCCACTAAACATGGATCATATAGTGTAGTCCACTAAACATGGATCATATAGTGTAGTCCACACAAACAGATGTGTACAAGTATCCTGTTTTCCTAAAAGAAATTTACCATGTCAGACACTGTAGGACAGTTCACCACGTTCTAGGTAACATGTAAATCTACACATGCATGCAGGCCTATGGATGATCGTACGCTTGTGTTCGTGTGTATTTGATGGTGGGAGAGAGGGCAGAGAGGCAGGATATGCATAGAAAAAGCAATTTGGATCAGTATATGCATCATGAAAAACCCAGAAATACTGTATTCATTAGCAAAATCTACTTTAACAAATTCTCAACACAAGATTTATCCACATTATTTTTAGGTATTCTATTATTCCAGTCCAACACAATCATGTTTTCTTTGCTTCATGGATAATTTAGTTCTTCATGCGGCACACACATTGAAAGAAAAATTAAAAACCACCATAAGATCGTCAAAGGAGTGAAAGAGTTTAACTCATGATTTCACTTATTTGGAAGGTGAATCCGACCAGATACCTTGATATCTGATTCTAATCTGCAACTATTATCTGTTACTGCAATCTGCTCTGATGACACAAGAAAGTAGTATATGTGTTTGATATGACTTGATATTATCTGACATCAGATAATGTCTAAATCAGCCAAAAGATTCAAGCATATGAAAGAATTTTTAGAAGTATCAACAATCTAACACTATACGTTCATAGGAAACTCAGAGTGTAACTATTTAATCTACAAACATGAAGCACTTGTAAATTATTATGTATACAACAACATTGACATATAAATCATCCGTTACGGCCCAATTACCAGATTAGTATTGTTTGTACACTCCTTTTGTCAGTTGTGGATATCTTTTCCTAGCTCCGACAATACTTTGGTATTGTTTTTGAGCCAAAGGTGCAATTTAACCCATAACTTCGCCTCTAGGGGAAAAAAAGCGTGAAACCTCTTCTCCTAGCAGTTTTCGGTCTTCCAAGTTTTCTCTTCACTATATTTGAAGGTAAGGTCGTTCTCTTCTTTGTTCCAAAATTTACTTACTTATAGTAGACTCAACATTCTTGCAAAACTTGGGCAGAGTTAGTATCACTATACCAATGTGCCAAATAATCTTCTGACACATTCCTCATGAATAAGATAACACTAATAACTATCACATGAGGTTTTGCGGCTTTTTTCGCCTAGCGGCAAAGTTTTAGGTCTAATTGAACATTTGGCTCAGAAAAAATACCAAAACGTCGCTTGAGCTAAAAAAATACCAAACTGATAAGAGAGGTGCACAAAAAAGACCAATGCGGTAATTTAGCCCACTTGTTACTATTATTAAAAAAGAATCTAGCTTTATGGTTGCAAACTTTTGGTGTCCTACCCATGTGAGTTGAGACTTGAGATATTTTTAAAAACCCAAAGAATGCCCTCACAATATACTTCAAAATCATGAGATTGCATACACTAAATATAAGCATATTAGATTGGACTGTAGACGTGTCTTATATAAGCAGAAGAAATATAGATTATACCATATTCTATTTGATGTAGATTATTACTATCCCTATACGCTTCACTGGATCCAGGCAGAGATTATATTCAAATATCAACTAACTCTTACTTAACGCTAATGAGAAACTTTTAAGAAGTTTTCATCATAGTAGTTTTAGTAAATACTAAAGTGAACTAGATTTTTCTTATAGATTATTATCTAGATTATTAGAATAAACACTGCTAGGATATTTAGAAAGAACATGATATTAAGTGGAACACCATAGTTTCGGATATAACTTAAGATACGCAAAACAATGAAGAATTTTGTCATGCCTCGGGCCCGCAGGTCCGTCGGTGTGGTGTAAGTTGTGGGACGTGCTGAGTGCAGTACGTTATTTGGCTCAAACCAATACCAAAATTAGCTGACCACTGCTACACTTGAGTCCTTTGATTTCACTATATAAACACTCTTATTTTCTTTAAAACAATCGATGTGGGATTATCTCTCTGGGGCCTCACAACTACTCGACGTTAAATATGCGACGTCCTCACCGCGACATGACAAGTTGATCATCCCAGTATCACTACCAGGCAATATGGATTTTATCGGTAGCTCCTACAAGATTTAGATATGGCTCCCACTGCACTCACGTTGTGTAGCACTTAGTTCTGCACTTCCCATTGGCAAATATTTATGATACCATTCGTCATGCCGAGGCTTGCAGGTCCGTCAACGTGGTATAAACCATGTAACCCACTGAGCATAGTGTGTTGTTTGACTCAAATCACTATCAAAATTGGCTAGCCAATGCTACATTGAGTCCTTTGACTTCACTATATAAACAATTTTATTTTCTTTAGGGTAATCAATGTGGGACTATCTTTTGGGGTCCTCATAAATTTTGACTTCACCACAGATGAATTCTAAAAATCCTTAGAAGGTTATTTCAAACGGTTACAAGTTTAACCCTTTAGGATCCATACTTAACATGATATTTACGAGGTTAGACTAGTCACCTCTAAACTCAAAGTTAGGAACAATGATATCAATGCATTTTCTTATGGTTCTTCATAATCCCAGTGCTAAACACTAGCTTCCAAATCATATACAGCAAGCATCTCCTTACTGTTGTGAAAACATCTACCACCACTCCACAAGCATTTGAATGATAATAAGATTAATCCGCATGCAAAGACAATGATCGCCAACATAATTTACTATATTCTTGACTTCATAGTAGTATACATGATGATGACTTTGTGATATCTTTTCTAACTCTTTCGTAATTGAAAGATGTAACCTCTTAGTTTCTGCTCTAGTTAATGCTGAAAGTGTACAAATTATTCCATGTAGGTCGTGCACCATAGCATAAATCATGCTAACAATGCACACATCAACCAATAACATATCCGTATCTAAAATATTAATAACATGTTAAGGTGTTCCTAATCAGAATGGCACATGCAAATAAAAGCAACATCAACAATAATAAAAACAACAAGAATTAAGTGATTATTTTAGAATAGCATTAGACTAAAGATATGGAGTCATTAATCTTACATCTCGGCATCATCTATAAAAATCCTCTTCTTTCAACTTTTTAAGGGTTCATCGCTAAAATAGTCATTCTTTTCTCGTACTACAAGAATACTCCAAGTATGGAGACACAAGACCTAGTTAATACTCATCATCCGTACATGTTCTCAAGGCTAGAGACACAACTTTCACTTGGGTAGGTAGATTCCATTTAGGAAAGCATCCTAAAAGTCACTTGTCACCCATGTTAATTTTCCAATAAATACTATTAAATTTTACTAAATAGATGTCTTTTTAGTAGTGAATATTGAATAATAAATCAGATATGGTTTCTTGAATAAGGTTGTTTATATGATTGGTTTTTATCCGCTTAATTATTTACACATCAACAATTAGACAAAATGATAATACGTCATAATGCAGGTTACTGAAGAAGACATTTATCCTTTGGAAGCATCATGAGAATGTTGCATAAGTACTCAAACATCCGGTAGATACTCATCTCGAATAAGTAAAGGATGAATTTTTGAAATTGTCACATCTATTTCAATTAGTAATTTGGTTTGAAGGGTTTTGCCAAGGCCTCACTCCACCCCCTAGGCCCTACGCAACATCTCTAAACCTGGCCCAATCAACTTCAAGATATAAATGATGCAACTTAGTTAAATTTTTTCATTGGTGGATTAGATGTTCTCTTTGGATAGTTTAATTATTAGGTCTCCCTCACATGTACATATAATTAAACCGGGTTACTTTATTTTCCAATCAATACACAATTTGTTTTCAATGTTAATTTAAATAGGAAGAAAAAGAATACAAGTAGCATACTAATTTTGGTTCATCATAACCCTTGATGACAGTCAAAATTAACAAATATTGTAACAGGTTATATTTAAATTTAATAGGAGAGAAACAAGATCCATATTATTTCTCTTAAGACACATCTGTAGAAAAGAAGACAGAGTGGGGACAAACATATAGAGAAGAGGTGGAGGGGAAAGGGAGAGAGTTGTGTTCTAAGATTTAACCTATTCTGGGTAGCACGGATACAGATGCGGATATGGACACGGGAGATGGCAGAATTGTAAAATGTAGGATACAAGAACAAAGTTATACATATATTTTATATTAGATCAAATATTGAAAAAAATGCCTATAATATTTGTATGTTTCTTTTTTTAACATATAATTAAGAATCAAGTTAAATCAAACCAAGAATAAGGTTTAATAACAAAAGTTTGGTTTTGATCGCATGGGATATATGATGAGTATTTTTTAAATATCTAAGTAACGAGCCTCGGTTTTCAGATTAAAAAACTAATTGGTTTTGACCCAATATTACCAAAGAAATTAGTTTAGGGCATAAGTAATAGAGAAATCTGGTTTTGCTTTGAACCACATGTGTCCATAGCTTGTTCGCGAAGAATCTGTGTCGAACAGGACACAACACCCAAAACATCGTATCCGAGTAACCTAGAACCTAATTATATATGTTATGACAAATGGAATGGTTTATCTTTTTCAAGTTTGGATTCCTTATGTTTAATACTTCTGAATCTCTATATGCTATATGATAGAATCGTTCATATTTCTGAAAAAAGTTTAAAAGCTTCTCTCTCCCTTTTAAATGACGCACACCACGATTAGATTTAAAAACCAAATGTTTATTAACTTTGTAAGTTCTAAAATGAAATATCAGTTAGATACAATTGGTTAGTTGCCAAAAAGTTTTAAGTACACATTTGTCCATAATTTTAGGATTGTCTCGTTCCTATAATCTATTTAGGAAAAGATACAATTGAATAGCTAAGAAAAAAGTTTCAAGTACATATTGTTCCGAGATTTTAAGATTGGCTCCTAAAAAGCATTAGATACATATATGTCTTTATAGTTGGATTGGGGGTTGCTGAATACCTCCTCCATGATGACACAAGACATATTTGCTCTCCTAATATCTTCCCATTAGTAAGAAACCAATTAGCATAAAAACAGAAACAGCTTCAAACCCAACTAATTTGCATGCTAGCATTTCCTTTTTTTTAAATATTATAAGCCCCTTTTAACAACACAATATGCATACTTTGTTTTAACCCCAAGGACGCTGTATTGCTTGTCTAGAAAAATAAAGATGCAGAAGTTGTGCAAAGTTCAAAAGAAATAAAACTGAATCTGTGACTCATGATGAGTTAGGCTAATTTCACCCAGACGGTGGATTTATAACTCACGGATCTCTCTCAAAAGTAGGGCCGCAAGAGCATTTTCAGCAAGTCTTAATACTGTAGTTGAGCTTCAGCACATTAACTTTTATAATTCTATTTGTTTGGCAAAAAGTTAGCTAGAGTTAATAATCCTAAGCTAACTCTCGTTGTCAAACACAGCCTAACAATGTAGTTTAAACTCGCATAAACTAATGTATTTGACAACATTGAATTTCAATGCAAAGAGTCAATCTGTGGAGTTATGACCATCTGTCTTTTTATCCAAGAAAAAACAGGATCTTTCATCGTTCATAGGACCATATACAGTACCATCCAAAATCATTCTAGGAGACCCTAATAATTCATATTAATGAGTCAACCCATACTTATCAAGATACTTGAAACTCGCTAACTTTCCCACAACTCAGAATTCGTCTTCCTCTAGCAACTCAAATTGACTCACAATCATTAGTTATGTCAACAGAAAATGTAGTATAGATATTGCCCGGTGACAAAGGTTGCAGGTTAAAGCATAAATAATGCATCATTTATAAATCCAAATTTGTAAGTATAACTAGAATCTAATAACTGATCATACATATATTTACGTTTGTAAGTGTAAACTGATGATAACTGATAGGTCAAATGTCAATTTATTGCAAGGTGATAATTTTCAAGCAAGTTAAAGTGTAAATAATGCACCATTTATGATATTTCTACATTCATAACCACTATTTGGTAATTTGTATATCAATTTATTTAAGTGTTGCTTCCATGCATTATGTTGAACTCTCTATGCATAAAAGATAACCAACAGGTTCAGCGTTAAAATATAATAGTGTCGTAAAAGAATACAAGTCTAATAAAAAGTTACAGGCTTTGTGTTTATCACAAAAAACAAATGTAGTTAGAGCAAATACATACCTTGGAGACATGCTCCAGAGTGAGTGCCTCAGGAATAATTCCTGTCCTGAGCCTGATATCCACATAACCACTGGTCCCTTGCAACGCAAAACACTGACCCGGCTCTCCAAAACTTGGCTCCAACATTTTCTTCGCATTAGAATGAATTCTACCCCGATCCTTTCCAACAGCAAACCAGTTGCTAGCTTTTCCAGAGACAAAAGGTTCTGAGTGTGCAATCACTTTAGCACCCCCGGCAGCCAATGCGTAATCCACCCTTCCAAGCCCATCCGCTGCATGCCTTTCTATCTCTTTCTCAATAATCTCTTTCGCCAAAGCCCCAATCTCATCAAGACTCACATCCTCATCATTTCCAGAAGAACCTTTCCTCTTCTTCAAGTCATTCTTAAAACTCTCAAATTCATCCTTTGTGAGCAGACCCATGTCCTTCAAATCATTTAGTGACTTGCCCAAATCCTCGGTTTTCGCGTCGAGCTTCTTTAACTCCTCCTCCAAAGCTACACTCCTCTCTTCAATTTTCTTCGCCAATTCCTTCTTCGCACTGCCAATCTCGCTCCCAATCTTCTTATCAACAACCTCAAGCTGAACCTGCAACATCTTCGCCGTCTTCTTAACAAAAGCCTCAACCTCCGAAATCCTTCCATCAGATTCCATCACAGCAAACGGGTAATTCACAGTATCCCCATTACTAAGTTTCAATATCATCTGCCCCAGCCAAAACAAGCCCACAACAAGCAAGCAGAGCTTCGTGAGAACGCTGAGCACAGTCTGCCACCTGGGCGTCTCCGATCTCGACACGTGTCTCCTCTTCCTATGGTAAGCGACAGTGGCGGTGGCCAACGGTGGCCAACCCTTTCCTCAACTCCGCCGCTTCCTTCGGCCTCTCGCCCAAATCCTTGCCGTTAACAATCGCCGATTTGTTGATTTCCGTCGAAATCTCGCCATTTGTGTTCACTGCCCTCCTCCTCGGTTCAGGAGTCGCCAGTTTTTCGTTGGACGAAGACATGGATATTGGAGCAGGAAACCCTAATTCAGAGCAGAAAGCAGCGAAATTTAAAAATGTGTGAAGAATTTGGTAGTGATAAACGGGAAATAAACCCTATTCGAAAACCCTAGAAATCAAGATCCAGAATTGGGTGGGATTGTTACCAACGGATTGGGGGAGTAAGCGGTGCTCGAGCGCCAACGGAGGAGTAATTAGGTTTTTTTTTGAAGAGAAGGGGGCTGGAAAGTTGTGTCCTTTATTTTGAATAGGACGGTAATGAAGCGTAGAAGAGCGCAATTTTAATTTGGAGAATTGTGATTAACCTCCAAACTTGTACTTATGTTTTATTATGATTTTTTTTCTTAGAAACCGCCTTTAAAAATAGAGTAATTATAAGAAAATCATCTTTTATTTTCAATTTATATATAGGTGGTTTCTGTTGCAATCAACCGTCTATTAGTCAAATTTTCACTATTAAAATAAAAAATAAGCTTAAAAATTCAAATTCAATATACTTTAGTTGTATTTAAATAAGAACTAAACACTAAAATTATCCGCCACTTATCTTGAATGTGAGTTTCTTAAAGGTAATTTAAATTTGACTAGGAGGTAGTTGATTGCAAAAAAAATAATAAAGATGGTTTATGTATAATTAAAAATAAAATGTGGTTTTTATATAATTACCCAAGTTTAATTTTAAGGTTGATTTCCAGAAAGAAAAAAAATCCCTTGGACGGTTGATATTGGGGAGAAAAATTCACACGAAGGCCCCACTTTAGATTCAAAATCAGAACCATAATGATGCAACAGTGTGTCAAAAATAATTTTGAACTTAGTTATTTTTGCATTATTCATTGTACTGATTCAGTAATTACGTAACTACATTTGCATATTTTTTACTTGACTGTACAGATTTTTATATTGGTTGAATTGATTTTTATTGAGTGTACTAGTTGTAAAACCCTTTGTATATTGGTTATTGCTTAGTGTGCGTACGCATCAAGATACATACATAAAAGCTATTATGTTACGGACATAAACACTAACATAATATGTATCATATACCAATACAAATCTCAAAAATATCTAACAAATAAAAAAAATTAGTTAGACAAAGCGCTTAGTCCACATAAACTTTTTCTTATGTTTATCGTTCAGATTTTTTTTAATGTGTATTGATTACGGATCAGATATTATGTTGAATTTATGACTTAATCTTATCCTTTTCTTTTTTGTGAATATATGAACTTATGGCGGATTTCATGATTGATTCATAATCTCATTAAATTATAGCTTTGTACAATTTGCAAATTAGATATATTTCAATAAGGTGGGAAGAAAATGCATATGTGCATTACTAGTATACATTCTATCAGAACCACATGAATGCAAGCGAGCAGGTCTCTGATGTTTAAGGGAAAGCAAGGTGTGATACGGTAATTCGCCTCTTCCCATGTGCGGCAGAGAACTGCCCACTCTTGGCATCCAACATATATGTTTTCTATAATTAATAAATAAAGATATATATTTTCTAATTCCAACATATATGTTTTCTCGGACATTCGACTACTTACAGTCTTACAGAGCTTTTCACAATGGTGCTTGACAAAAACATGCACCATGATAACACAGCAGGAAAACAGAAGAAAAAAAAATTGGACAACAAAGAAAAGAGAGGAAAGGTATGGAAGCGAGCAGAACTTCATCTTTCATTAATATGAACCATTTGATTTAACCATCAATGTACTCCTGGGACTGAATAATTCTAGTAAGTTCCTTCAAATTTGCTAAACAATGTCGAGGTCCCAAACTTTCAGCACCAATGTAATTCAGAAGTTGCTCCAAATCCTACCAAAAAGTAAAGAGCGTTAGTTACTCGCAGAAGCCGCAGGTATAGACCGAAAACAATAAGAATCTGAACGACTATAAGGTTGAAACTTTCAGATGTTCTATTTTTGCAATATTCTATTTTTGAAACTTTCAGATGTTCTATTTTTGCAATAGACCGAAAACAATAAGAATCTGAACGACAATAAGGTTGAAACTTTCAGATGTTCTGTTTTTGCTATATTCTCTTCCTTAGAAAATTAAGGCTGGATAATCCATGTAAAATTCCTATTCAACAACATACACGGCCAGAACACAATTGTAACAAGATGCTTATCTATGGGCTTCTTAATTCTTATGTTTCAATTACTCATTAATTTGTGAGGCATTCCAATAAATTTTCAAGGAAACAAGCATCCAGAAGAGTACAGGTCATCGGTATTTCATTTTACATGGATGTGGTCTATTTCTTTTAACAAAATCTTGAAACCATGATAAGGTATAATTTCTTGATTCTATCTTCCCTTTTCTTGTGTGGGGTAGAGTGGTCGGGACAATCTAATATACAGTTAAAACATGAATTATGTTATGCTTAAATTTATGATTTTATCTAAAATATATAAATGTATAGTTTTTGCAAAGGTCTCATAAGGGTTTTAAAATTTTAACTGTAATGCCTAAAATTGTGTTAATAATACTCAATTAACTAATATCTAATAGATATAATAATAAAACATGGGTCCAATGCAATAATTGGTTAGATTCAACAACAATTAAAAATCAATATTTTCAAGGTTTATCCCGATACTATGTGGAAATGTATTACTCCCTAAATTTTCACCTTCATTTCTCCCTATGTGGTCATTGAAGGTTGGCCTATTCTCTTTACATGCCTTTGTAACTTTTGACAATTTGCAAACCCACCAAGCTTCATCTTAGCAAAGCAAGCTCGCTTGACTTCCAACATATTGTGCAACTCTAATAGTCCTCTAATTACTTTAGCCAATTCAAAACATGCAATGTGAACCCAATCTCCATCAAATTATAAATTTTCATTTTGACTTTCTTCAGGTTGGCATCATGCTCAGTATTTAGATCACTCCGTAGGACATCATTATGAAGATTCCTTAATAAGTTCTTACCTTGTACCTATCATAATTCCCACCGTCTGCTCTAGGGACTCTTAAAGCAAAACTCTAAAGGTGCAATGAGGGTTGAGGATTATAATTTCACATTCAAACATGCCCCTGCATGTTGAGTGTTTTCTTTTCATTGGCCAAAACCTAGACTCAGTGCAACATTATATATATATTTTTAAAATGCTTAAATTTGTGGCTAGTTGGACTTGAACCAGTGTTGTTCTAATACCATGTTAAAGGACCCTTCCACTACATAAAAACTCTGAAATTGTGATGAGTGCTGATGGTTAGAAGTTTATTATAACATGGACTATGACAATTACCATCATCAACTTCACGATCATCCTTTGAATCCTCAAGCTGAGTCAATTCCAAATTGACAAAGATTTTGAAGATTTCTGATTGAGTTACTTTGGGTTTAAAGATGGTAGAAGACATAGATCTTGACCAGTATTTCCAACACAATGTGTTTGTTTGGATTCTCTTAGACAATTGAACATTTTTAGATAATCCTGTTCAAACATCTATTGACATCTGTCAAGCTGAATTCTCATTTAATTTTCTATAAATTTCCCAATTTGTTTTTCCTGATCCATTTGTTCTTGGATACTTGCCTCTGGGTGGAACATGTTTTCTTCCTATTCTTTGCTACCACCATTTTTCCCTAAACTGATAAAGTTAATGAAGGCTTCAAAAGAAAGGCAGCAGACGAAACAAGAAGAGAGATGATAAATATATTGAAACTAGAAGGATGCTGTGAATAATGAAAATTAAAAACATTTGATAACTTTTTGGTGTTACACCGCATGACAAGAATAAAAGTAAGAGAATGAAAGAAGAGGTGACTATGGTTTATTAAAATTTAAAAGGCATGGCCTGGTTCATCTCATACCCAAGTAAACGCAATATCTTCTAACTTAAAAGCTAATGGGCATATGATGGGAATACTTCTAAAGATTTAAGATGTCACTATCTCCATTAGTATGTCAACTAAATATATCAAAGTCAACTATGCAAAATACACTTAAGTAAGATCGATAAAGTTATATCCTGTCAGGTTAATATACAAATAATCATTACAGGACGAAGGTCAAGGAAAAAATTCATATTAGCTATAGTTAACTATAATGAATAACGGTAAGCACATTCTGATGGGGGACGGTCACTGGAAAACTTAATAGGAAGATCGTCGGAGAACTTATCGGAGGTCGATGACTGTGAGAGGTGTCCGGTTGAGATTTTGAGGAAGGAATAAATAGATCAAAGCTAATGAAACAAGAAAGATAAAGGATAAACTTGATAGGCCAGATTCACTCTCAGCGCCTAATCAAACAACGTGGCTTCACGCCTATGGAATCACTGCAAACCATTTCTCAAAACTCATATTTTATTCATCAATTCTCCCTCTCTAAAATGAAATATTACAATCCTTTTTATAGCAATAAAATAAATCCAAATTCTAATTAATAGATTTAATCAAATCCAATAAAATAAAAAATAACAACTCTAACCAAATAACTAATCCAATCCTATCCAAATATCTTAAAATCGTATCCTAAAAATCCTAACTAATCTAATCTTCTAGATGTTCTACATCACATCCTTTTAAGCAACAATTTGGTTTTTTAATGCTAACATCGAAAGCAAAGAGCTAAATTATCTCATACATCAGAACTAACTAGTTCTTAAAAATTTTACATGAAGAAACTTTATCTATTGTAATGCTTTTTTATCAGATTAATAATATTAATATGAAATAAAAATTATCACCAATTTCTAACGCTAAGCCATTTAAACTCAAGTGAAGCGGAACTCTTACAAGTTACATGCTAAGATATTGCTTTAGAAAGAAAACTAACTATAAGATGCATATAACATATCAACTAGAAACTTCACGGCTTTGCACATGTTGGATCTAGGTCAAAATATATTGACTTAAAATCGGCCTACAAAAGGACTCAAGTAAAAGAGATAACTATAATTGTTCAGTTACAAGCTACTGTTATGATATGAGACTATTGTGGCCTTGTAGGTGATGCTTTTAACAAAGAGCACAAAATTCATTTAGGGGGGGTGTTAGCCAATTGGAACATTTTTGATAGAAATGGAACAGTTTTTAGTATGGGATAATTTTTTAAAGCGGGATATTTTAGTGGGATAATTGGGAGTAAGTTTTTGAAATGAGATATTTTAGTGGGAGAATTGTTAGTATAATTAAGGATAAATTTTAATAATTAATTAGCATATAAGTCATGCATTTTGATGATAAGACTACTATGTATATATTTAAAAACTTATTATTACTAATTATTTACTTCAGTGTTAATTAGTCTTGAAGAACTATTGGATTGACTATAAGATATTATTATTATTACTTGTAATTTTTTGAATTTTTGGGACTATTATTGTCATACAAATTAGAAAAAAAGTTTTTCTTTTTGCCTCTTTCTTTTTTGATTTGCTATACATCATTCCGCCATTTCTCAATTTTAATTAATTTTTAATAAAACATGAATTTTATAAATTTTAAATTCAAATTAATTATACAATTCTAATATGTAATAAAAAAAGAAAATAACATCAAATAGAAGGTAAGAAGATGTGTGATCTCGCTTATGGTGTGCTTTGATTCTTTGAAGATGATGAAGAAATGAAATATGAAAAATAAAAAAGTAAAAAAAGAAAGTTCTAGTTTTTTACCATCTAGTTTTAATTTAAAACTTAGGACAATTTGGGAGACTAGAACTCTCTCTTTTCTACATAAATTTCATAAAAGTGGATAAAGTTTTACAATTATCCCAATTCTACTTTTTATCCGGTTCTAGTTGACTAACACTGTATAATTTTATCCAAGTTCTAGTTCCAATTGACTAACACTATAAAAATTTGTCTCACAAATTATTCCAGTTCAAATTTTGAGTTCTACTTGACTAACCCCCCTAAAAGGAATATTTGAAAAAGTTGAGCTACTCTTGTCTAAATTTCAGCATATTCATCACAATGAAAGTATTCAATGCTTGGTCACTCCTTCAAAATATCCTTCTCTATTGACTTACAATTGTTTTCTGGCCTTCATTCAAGGTTGATTAGTAACTTACTGTAAGTTAAGTTTCCCTAGATCAGGACTACCTTCAAAATTTTAAATTAATCAAGTAGGAGTATGAACCAAGAAAATGTCAGTTGATAGAGATGTCAAAATAATAGAAATGACAAGTAATTGGCAAGTCAAGGGAGCTTATAAGCTACGAGCCTACACTAGTAGAAGCATGAAGATTTGACAAAACTTAAAAGTGTTCATGCATTCTAAAAAAATAATTGATGGCTGGATACCATTACTATTTTTTTATCTTTGTTAAATAAGAATACTACACTTAGTTAAGATCCCGACAGAGTTCAGGAGCATGAGACAATGAAATGACACTTTTTATACTTAATACTGGAAAATGAATGATGACAGATGGAACACCAACCTTATTTAGCAAAAAAAGTGCATACGCTGCTCTAGTAGCATCCTGGCCTTCTAGAAAGAGGGGGAATTCTGTAGACTTTGTATTCACTCCTATGATTGAATGTGCCATCAAGTCAGATGACGCAGACTCAACTGAGGATCCGTGATCAAGTATGTATGAACGTGAACCTCCCAAGCGCAGAGGGTATCGTAGAGGAACATCTAGGTAAGATGCAATTAGAAAGACTGCCTACAGAACAAGCAAACAAAGATAGGACGAGTTAGCAAGTTATATGCCAGTGAACTCCTCAAGGAGCACGGACCATCATCTTTGCCTACAACTGTAAACCTTGTATGTAAATGTCACATGCTAGCAATCATTTATTCAAGCTGGTAGCACATTAACCACCTCCAAAAGCTCCAAAACTTACATGGGCGATATAACCAAGAACTGTTGCAGATCTCTGTATGTCCATTTTATTGCTGAAAAAACTCATTTTCTTAAGAGGAATTGCAGTTAGCTGGAGGCCTGAAATGGTTAGAGGTGATACTTGCTCAGGTTTAGACATATTTGGGAGAGATGAACCTGCTGAATCTCCTGAAAAAAATAATAGCAGTTATCTTAGCTTCTTTCAAGAAAAGCAGACAATTTATTTAGCTTCTAGTGTAAAAACTACATAAAGATGCCAGCTAGTAGAAAAAAAATAACGGATGAAACCATGCTAAAATGACAAGAGGTCCAGAAACAGGAAGGATTTCGTAATTAAAGAAATAAAATTGTATTTCAAAACCACAAATGAAGGACATTAGATAAGGACGTCATATTCTGAAAGTAAGCAGAAGTTCAATTGCTGTCCACACATTATCATACAAAAGAATAAAATAAATGATGATGCTTATACGGGATGCAAACAACAAAAAGGGTGTATGTATACCATACGTGAAACAACCAAATATATATAGCATTTGAAGCAAGGACAGTAAGTAAATGGGCGTCACACGTATGAGGTAACTAATGTTTGACTAGTTGATAAACAACCTTGTCGGTCTGCAATGACATAAGACCTTTGAATTTAATATTAACAAGTTGTGAAAGGTGATCCAAACTATTTCAAATAGATGGAAACCTATTAGTGATGCCAGGATATATCAATAAAGAAGACACATGAATTTATGTCTGTGTCTGCAAACCATGTCCTTCTTGAGAAAAATGATACACAGCAAATTTTTTTCAATCATAATCTTCCAACAAACAATAATGAGACATTTAAGGTGGTGGCAATAGGTGAGGGAAGATGGATATGAAGATAAGGGGATACAACTGCATAGACCCTATCTACAATGGTGTTATCTAAAATTTCTAATTGACCAGCATTTTTTTCAGTCCAATTTGTTGTACAAATATCCAAGGTACTTGTTCTTGCTTCCGTTGGTTAGGCAACCATTGTTAAAATAGGCAGTTAATAAATTTTAACTTGATACCAGATATTAATGGAGACACTAACATCCATTCTAGGGAGGAAAAAGAAAGGAATCAAAGATGTTCACCAGCTTTATAACCATTTTATCCAAATCGACCCATGTCAGTTCTCCACATGCATGCACCACACGCACGTGCGCGTGCATACGTACAAAGAATCAAGGTATTATCATAATGGTTGTTTACGTCAGAAAATGCAATGCAATATTACTTAGATCTCCAAAAATAAAAATGAGATTTGTTGCTTGTGAAGCTTGATCATGGGAGAGGGAGAAAGAGTACTCGACTTGTTGCTACCACGACGTGAATCAATCTTCTCTTTAGATTCATGTAAAGCTTTCACAGGATAAAGTGTAGAAACTTGAGTTATCATATATTGTTGTCTACTCCGAAGCATCTTCTGCAGCTTCTTGAGATTTCCGTGACCCCTTTTTCCAGTGAGCAACTTATTAGCTTCCTAGAGAAAAGTTCAAACAAATCGATTAAATGACATCCGCAAAAAAGACAACACTTGAACAAGTATCATATATTAGAACACAGAGAATAGATCAATGTAAGCTGATTAAATTTCCTAAAGCATAAGAAGAATAGTGCAGTAAAACTCATAGTTCATTACTTGCTAACTTACCTAAAAATATACGGTGTGTGCCACTCTTTTGGTTTAGATCTAGTTGCTTACCGTGCAAGCTTAGTTAACTACGAGAACAGTGTACTAAGCATACTAATAATATTGTAAAAATATTGAGCTAATACTAGAGCATACTAATAATATGGTAAAATTACTGAGCTACTATAGTGAAATAAACACACTAATAATCTGGCAAAAACATTGTTGCGCAATTCCCTAGACCCCCGCCGAACTGTCGAACAGTTCATGCGAACCGATTCCCAGTACATTAACGAACCGATTCCCTCCGATACACGAATTGGTTCCCTAAAATTAGCGTACCGCTTCCTAAAAACTTACTAAATGTGAGGGGATCGAAGTTGATTTACAAGTCTGTTTTTAGGCACATGCGCTTGGGATTTTTTATATGTTTTGATAATTTTATTGAAAGTAATTTTCCAGTAAATGAAAGTTATCCAAAATTAATAACTAATTCTAGATCACTATTTTCTTAACTGATGTTACTAAGAAGATTTTATCTCGGTCTATTAGTAGTTCTTCAGCTGAGAGAAATTAGAGTACTTATTCCTACATACATAGTGTGAAAAGGAATAGGCTGAACAATGATAGGGCAGATAAGTTAGTATTCATCCATTCAAACATTCGCTTCCTGTCACGATTTTGTGAGAATTACGAAGTTGGTCCATATAAAGGATGAGATATGGATCACAATAATGATAACTTAGAGGACACTTCAAGTAAGTTGGAGGAGCTTAGATGGAATTGTTTGGACACGGAATTAGCAGAAGATGCACTTGATCTTAAGGAGAAGAAAGATGCAAAATAGAAAAAAATTATTACGAGGCTGTCTAATATTTAATATTTTAAGTTTTATGTATTCAAAAACTATAAAAATGAAGTATTAAAGTATTTTGTATGAAAAAATATTGAAATGCATAATTAGTTTTCTAGTTTCTAATTTTCTACTATACACTTTGAAAAATGATAAGCGTACCCAAAAAAATTACATCGCATACTATATTGAACTTGCGTATCGAAGCAAGCTACCCCCGTCAATCCAAAATTTCAAAGTCTCAAATTGCATACTCGAATTCGTATGACAACCCGCTACGTACCGCAAACCATGTAACTATAAGTAAAAATACTGAGCTAAAATCAAGACTCAACCGCAAAACAATCTTTCAAGCTTCAAGACCTGACTTGTGAATATATTCAGAGGCCGAACTAAAGACACAACCTCAAATAAAATTAAGATTGACTTTAGGTTCAAGACCCAGTCTTCACATTTCTGGTAAATGTTCATTCAAAACAAAACCTATACGCCATATCAAAGCAAACCTAAAATTATGAAAAGGCTTGAAAACTATAATATGCTAATCCAGTCCAATCAGAGACAAGATCATCCAAACAGCTACAACTAAGTGAGATCCAGCAACAACTTTCCGAATAGTCAGAACATATGATAGCCCCCTTTATCCCCATGGTCCTCAAATGGTGACTCTCCCCCAGTTACAATATTGGCAAGATATAGAGCACCAGATCAGAAGATCCTGATCAAACTTAAATTCACAGGGCTCAAGAAAATAATATTTGAGGCTGGTGCTACATTTCTCCCAACAACCAATAAAAAAAACAATGTATCGCTTTGATCAGCAAATAGGAACATCTGCACCAGATAAAAGGGTGGAAAGTTGAAAGGGAAAAAAAGATTGAAGTCTGAATAGTGAATATTCGTGCTAGTGTAAAAGCTCTATAGCAATAATCTAAATACACCTCATAGGCTTCGCTTGCATGAGGTGGAAGAGAGGTTACTCTTCTTTCACATATGGGTCACAATTATAGTTGCTAGTTACATATTGCCTTAAGGGTTGCTCTAAAAAAATCCAACAATTGTGAAGGCAATTTTATTTGATTCGTGAAAATTTGCTACTGCGATTTGCAAAAGACAATTGTAGTTGCAGCTATTTGGTACTATGCAACTGCAACCTTTTGGTTCCCGTAGTTGCAAAAACAAAGTACTTTTCGTAAAAAAACAAGTCATCGTTACAAGAAGTGGTCCTTTTTGCAACTGCAATTACAGAAAAAACCCTTGCTCAGAAGATAAAAAGTCATAAGAAAAGCATTCTATGAATAAACAATGGCAGCTTGTCCTATTAGGAGAAATTACTCTTGTCTGGTCGGTACTTAATAAATAGCCACTTTATATTTTTTTTCCAGGCATGTTGTGTGTAGCATTTCAAGGTTTATGACATAAGTTTTAGGTGTAAGAGAACTTTTTCCCAATGTTTTAAATATCGGTTATCGGGAATTTATCGGACGGTCAAAATCTATATCGGCGTATTTATCAGAGTGACATTACCGGATGGTGATATACATAATATAATATTCTAAAATGTAATTTAACAATACTTAATAAAATATAAATAATTATGTTTAGGATCACTAACTAATGATAGAAACTCGGATCGGATTGGGTTTAAATTGCGCTGAATAGGTGCCCGTTGTCGGAAATCAAAACCCAAACTAAAGAGCAATAATTCTGATTTTTTGGCTGACAATATCAGCCAATGACTCACTTTATCAGTGCATTATCAACGATAAATATCCAAAAACAATAATAGATTTAGAATCGAACTTATCATAGTGGAAGGCCCCAAAACCGATAAATCTCTGATAATATGGGTTTATCGGCCGATATTTAAAATATTATTTTTCCCCTAGTTTTTCTTCTTCTCTGGTCATAGATTGACATGTCCAAGCATACTATGGTATTAATGCATGGATAGCAGTGGATCACGTGCATATCACATTTTTTCGTTATGGTCCAGTATTTAATTATACGAGTGTTCCATCAATTTATTCCTCATTAGAACATCATTGTTTGTATAGGTATTTGCGGCACATGTGAAATCTATGCAAAGGGTGAGTTTCTTTCCATCTAGGTAGTCTTTCTCCACCTTTGGTCCGAGTTTGGCATGTCCAAATGTGGTATCAACACATTAATATTAGTAGATCACATCCATCTCACATTCTTTCTGAATAGATACTGAACATTCATTATGGTCTATCAAGCGTGCAAGTCCACCACCAATTTACTCGTTGCTAGAACACCATTATTTGTAGCATGCTTTTATTTCTGCCTGTGATTATTGTCTTATACCATGGGTTAGTTAGTACTCAAAACTATTACATAGTAACAAAAATCACCAGTATGAACTATGGTATTAGTATTTAGGTAGAGAAAAAAAATATATGCATAGTACCAAAAGTCAAGAGTTACGGAAAAGCAAAGAAAAATAGCCACCTGGAAGTGATCTGATAAAAAAAATACTCAGAACTGAATTCATCAAAAAAATCACTGGCAAATTTATTGGTATTGCAGCTACCTGTAATTGTTGGTGTGCTGCAGAAAGGGTTTTGCCAGCAACTAATAGCATTCTGGTTTTAGTGCAAAGTTGCTCCCTTTGGCTTCCAACATCCTCTAATGTTCTCTTTGTGTACATTGACAAGTTCCCCAGTGTGAGTTTTCTGGCCTCAAGCTTTTCTCTCATGTCCTCCAGCTCATTGGACTGACGAAGATATTCTTCCCTTACCTGCTGACCAGATCGCCGCCCGCTAAGCAGAAAATTAATCAATTCAAGACCAGTGAACTACAAAGAAGAGATCTTTTTCTTTTCTAAAATAAAACAGTCTAATAAAAAGAAAAAAAAAGAGATAAATAGTTAAATACTGATACTACGTGAAATTTTTCTCCAATGTGGGGAGAGAAGGGGAAACATTGTATGAACCAAATTAGGCCTTAATTTTAAGAAAAAGGGGGAGAAGTTCATTACAAGATTGGGATACCTTTCCAAAAGTGGTCAACTATAGAACACTCCAAAAAGAATATAAGCATTCAATGAAATTTCTATAAAGGTGCTCAATTTGAATGAGGAGTTTACAAAGCCAAAAGCAGATATAACATCTCAGCGTACTCTCATTCCTCTCATATAAACGAACAATAGAGTTAAACCCTCAACCCGATTCAGCTTTTTGCATGTGGCTACTATGATTATAAGTACTTAGACCTAGTCACCACTAACTATGACCTAACTAAGAGGGTGTTTGGAAAGGCTTATTTCTTGAAGCTTACAAATTATGTTAGCTTTTGGTGGCTTTTGGCGGCTTTTGGCTCTTACATTATTATTATTATTTGGTGTAACCTCCATGGGTAGAAAAGTCATTTGTTTAGTCAAACCTAGCTTATCTATATGAGCTTAGAAGATAGTTTTTCAAAAGTTGGGGAATCCAAACTTTTTCAGTTTAGACTTAAAAACTAGCTGATTTTGGATGTTACAAAACACATATATATGAAGGGAAAAATACCTAGCTTAACAGCTACATTGACCACGAAAAATTTCCCCGAAAGCACCCTCTAAATTTCACTTGTACTCATGAAACTCAACTAGCGAGCAGGATACTTCATTCTGGAGTGCAGATTAGAGAAATTGTTCATGTTTTTTCATTCATTGCATGATTTTTAGATTATATAACTGCGTGTTTATACATGTAACCCTTTGCCCGCAGAGAATTCCATGAAATCTTTCTGCGTATGCAAAATGTATCTTCCAGATCAAATGTTATAGGCCGTAGTTAACTCGCCCCAAAAGTCTAGTTGTTAGAGGGTGGGAACTTGAATATCTAATAAGCCCACAACTTACTCATGATTTACTCAATGTGGGGCCAAATGAACCGTAATTAACATAACAGACTTCCAAAGTCCAGATGCTCGCATGGCTGGCTTTGCACTAGTCTACTAATCAAACATTGCAACCTGACGCCACGTCTTTGGTTTTGCACTAGAATAGTCCCGAACAAAGCTATAAAATTGGCATCACTACCCGCACTGCTCGCTTGCAAATGGAAAGATGGAGTTGGTAGTGAACTATTTACACCGCCTAAAAGCTATACGTTAGAGAGGGAGCCTAAATCTTTAAACGCGCAACTGAGTCCCTATTTAGTCAATATGGGATCAAATGAGCCCTTGTTACGAATTAAGAGTAACCATCGTCGCAATCATCCAGTGATTCATACAATCATTCATCACACTGCAACCTAGTATACTTATAAGGACACCAAGAACACATCTTTCCAAAAGAAAACATTAAGATTACTACTTCCGAAAACTACAAAAGATTGCACTCCTAACGACATCGCTAACCAATTATTATAACTATTAGTCAAGCCACAAGTGGCAAAATTGCACTCAGATTATCATAAAGAATCCATAAAATGACATATATTTCGTAAAAAAAAAGCCCTAGAATTGAGAAAGAGCCCTAACCTTGATAATAGCCTCGATCCTCTCGGAGAGTTCCTCCTTCTTCTCCTTAGCCTTGTTAAGTGCAGATGAGAGGCTCCAGAGACGAGCGAGCTCCTGCTGTAACTCCTCCCACTCTATGATCTTCGGGTTATCGGATCCGATGACGATCATCTCCTTCTCCTCCGAATCCGCCGGAGGCGGCGCTGCTGATGAAGCTGAATCCAGATCGATGGTGATGTGGTCGTTCTGGTTGAAGTCCATTGGAGAAGGAATTCATCGTTTTTGGGGAGTCGAGGTGAGGAGATCGGAGGAGATCATCGGCGATTCATTGATGAAATGATGCGGGTCGGGTTCAATAAGCAAAGGTAGGGATTTTGTGGTTCGTTTTAACTAATCCCTTTTTATATGTGAATGTCGTGTTGGTTTTTTTTTTTTTCCCGGTAAATCGCACTTAATAAATGCCCTCTACTTTAATCAATCGTGACCTCTCTTTTAATACCGAGCTAATAAAAGTTATTCTAAGGCATTTAACTATTATAGACAGTTACGCTAAAGTTAAATGGTATGTTTGGGAGTTATCTTAGGGAAGGAAAAGGAAGGAGAAAAATTTTCCTTCTTTCCATTTCCCTTCATTACTCCCAATTTGGGGTGTAACATTTTGGCACAAATTTCCCTCCATTCCCCTTCTCTATCCTTCTAAATGCAACTCCCAAACAAGGTTAAAATTACATTTATTTTCCCCTCCTTCTCTCTACCCTCCATCTAAACATGCCAAAAAAAGAACCCCACTACTCCGCATATGTCAGAACACCACGTAATAGGTGGGATCATAGTGTAACTTTGAGAAATTTTAGAGCAGTGAAGTGAGATTATTTATAAAACGATAGTATTTATATGCAATATATGGTGACTAAGAGAAGATCAAAATGTAACATTTTAAAATTTGGGGTATTTATCTGTATTACTTAAATACTTTGAGACACTTATTTTCTCGATTTTAAAAATAAAGATCACTTAAATTTAAGGGGGGTGGAACTATAGGGCATTTAAGTGCAATTTAGCCTCATTTTTTTGGACAGTCTAGACAAGCCTTTTTTACCTCGCGTTTGTTTTTTATCCGGACCAAACTTTTTTGAAAGAGAGACTATGTAAACCCCACAAAGGAATTGTGATTAATATGTATATGATCGCGATACATAGATCTCACAATTAAATATTTATCCATTGTATGAAAGTTGTAATTTGCTGATGAACATGATTACAACTAAATTAGTGGAGTAGAGAGGTTCCAAATGGTTTCTACGTCACATGCTATTACAAACCCTCGTCATTGAAATGATTGCTTAGAATGCATAAAATCATGACTTTAATTAAAGGATCTCAAAAGCCATGAATTATTTTTCATGACTTCAATTAAATGATATCGCAAGTCATGAATTATTTTTCAAAAATTTACAAGGTAAATTTATGAAAATGTATCCTTAGGGGCTGTTTGGTTCGTTTCCTTGATATAGAGAAATGCAATTCCATGTAAAGAAACATAAGTTTTGAGTTTTCCAAACTTTTCCAAGAAATAGATTATTTTGCTTTGGTCGCACATAAAAAATGGTGGGAAACCAATGTATTTATTTTTCTTGTGTTTGGTTCGCATAGAAAAAAAAAGGAAAACTTTTGTAAACAAAACAGAGAAGGAAAAAAATCTGACGTGGCAGAGTTTTCATCAATTTCACTTGGTTGGGGAAGGAAATCGGAGAGGGAAAAAAATCTTAGTTGGCGGCGATTTCAGCAGAGTTTTCCCTCTTCCATTCGAGCGAACCAAAGCAGCACAAAGAAATGGACGGAAACAAAAACGCTGACGTGGAGGGCTAAAAATCTGACGTGGAGGGGTTTTCTGAGTTTTCCACCCCTTATAATAGTGAACCAAACAGCCCCTTAGCATAGATATTTAACTCATTCGTCAAGGCCTTGAGTACATGAAGGTCTTGACTTGTCTTATGACTTGTCTATATAAAATCCGAGAACTCTAATTCTAAGCGTCTAACCAATCCAAAATAAAAGAGCTATAAAACCTAGCATACTTTTTTTCTTGTCAGTAAAGAGCGCGAACCTAGATCCTCTCAATTACAAAAAAATAGTGGAGAGACCACTACTCTTTATCTAACTATTGATTATTTAATAGACGATTATGATACAATCTAAATCTAACACTCGCCATGCTCTCGTGCATTGCATACATTCCTAATTTACACTCAAAGAAAAAATCACAACCACCGACTCGATAATTAATGGTTATGGTTATGTAGTATAAAAGAGCTATAAAACCTAGTACTTTTTTTCTTGTCAGTAAAGAGGAGGAACATGGATCCTCTCAATTACAAAAAAGTAGTGGAGAGGTCATTATTTTTAATCTAACTATTGATTATTTAGTAGACGGTTATGATACAATCTAAGTCTAACACTCACCATACTCCTGTGCATTGCACACATTCCTAATTTACACTCAAAGAAAAAATTACAACCACCGACTCGATAATTAATGGTTATGGTTATGTAGTGGTCCCTCCAGTACTTTTTTGATAGTGAAGAGGATCCGAATCCAGGAAGAGCCACTTGGTTAAAACACTACTCTCTCTCTCTCTCTCTCTCTCTCTCTCTCTCTCAAGGAGAGACCTCGTCTCTCTCTCTCTCTCTCTCTCTCTCTCTCTCTCTCTCTCTCTCTCTCTCTCTCTCTCTCTCTCTCAAGGAGAGACCTCGAGATCAAGCCCCTCTCTCTCTCTCAAGGAGAGACCTCGAGATCAAGTCCCCACCCAAACATATACAATGGGGGTATAGGTCTCACATTAATATAGCCTAGCCTCAGGTAAGTAGACAAGAATCGAACACAAGATCGTGGAAACTATATTGAAACCTTCTAACCATCCGAGTCAGCCGCAGTGGGTTAGACTAGCATGCTTGCTTGAAGAAAAGTCATCATTTTCTGAAGGACTAAGGGATGAATTACATTCATCAATGAGCATTGCTTACGAAATGATAGAGGGTTCTGCACTTATGAAATCTCAGTGAAGTAATCCTATTTTATTTATCAAATTTATAACATTCATTTGATCTTGGCTCATATATTTTATTTATTATAAGATTATTTTATTCTTAATATGATCAGAATCATCTATACACAGTTTATTTGCGATTCTAATCATATTAAGAATAAATTAGTCTTGTGATTAAGAAAACTGAGCCAAGATCAAACGCATGGCATACATAAAATTCATAAATAAAATAGGATTACCTCATAAAGATTTCACACAAGCAAAACCCTCTAAAGTTTAGCACTGAATGCTCCTTGGTGAATTTAATTCGTTCCTTGGTCATTTGAAAAGTGATGATTTTTCTTCAAACAAATATGCTAATTCTTGTAGCTCTTTGGTTCTAGATTGGATGGATGCTAAGAATTAGATTTCTCAAACATTATATGGGTAAATTAGAACCATTATATATAATTATTATCTTTGACCAATGAAATTAATATCATTATTAAGGTCATATTCTTCATAACTTTTACTTTGTGAATTTATGAAAAATAAGTTTTTTTAATAGCACCTTGCTACCTTTTGTTAGTCTATGGATGGAATATTTCCTCAAAGATTCACATACAAAAATGTCGCTAAAATTTACTAAAATAATTAAAATATCTTATCTTTGTCCTTCTCGTTTTCCTTCCAATGCCCTAACTCGCATCGTTGATCCTTGTTACGTACTAACGATCCTTAATGGTTGACGATTCTTCATGGCTAGCTATTTCGGTGAGAATAATAGTTGAAGAGATAGAAGTTGGAATTGTTGTTGGGGTTCCTTTGATTCTTCTGGTCAAAAATTTTGATGGTGGATATTCATCTTGCAAATCATTGAACAAACGGTTAGAAGGCACCAAGACGTGACTGCCCAATGATCCTCCGATGCTAAAGTCAGTAACTGTAGGAAGAATGTAAAAATTTTATCTAAAATTAAGAATAAAATTGGGCTTAACTTTTAGCTTATTACTTTTACCTCTTTTATATTGTCTTAGAAGGGTACATCAGGGAGAGAGGGAAGTCCACTTAGCGTCATCTGGCCGGTTCAGGAGAGTAGTGATGAGGCTTCCCCTATAACATAATTGTCTGTATTGTTAGGCCCTAGAGGGGGGATTAGGGTCTTATGCTAATCTAATCCCGATTATATTCCAATTAAAATTATATTGATTAATTTGTTCTTGCAAGAAATATATGAGATAGATATGAACAACAATGTGAAAAATAAGCATAAATAAAATATACGCTAAGCAAACACAAACATACGATATGTTTATGAGGTTTGGTCCCCATGACCTACGTCCCCGCTCCTCACCTCGAGGAGATCTCCACTATCACAATCCGATTTAGAAGCCGGAACTTCTACACACTCGGTTTACAAGTTTACCAAAAACTCTCACACAACAAATACTATGCAATCACACTTTACACACTAAGTGTAGGATTCTAGCCCGTGTCCTCCTCCTTAAGTGTTCGGATACAACATCTCTCTAGGTTTGTCAACCGACCCCACTACTATTAGATTCGACCCCGTCTCACGCCTCACACTTCTCTCGGTGTACAAGTGTATTACAAGTGATACTCACAATAAGGGTTTAAATACAATGATTTGTTATCGATTATAAATGAGAACACAATGAAGCTCACTCTCACTAAATCACACACCACTACCCAACAATATATTGTATGGAAATATTATAAGCTCAATAAGGTGTGTGTGATAAAAGCGAATAGAAAATATGCAACTCAATTTATATAGCTAAGATATAAAAATGAATTAATAAGCTATATGATAATGAGTTTAGAAAAGTTCTCAATGAACAAGAAGAACTGTAGAGAGGTGAGGAGGATAAGATCCTTAATTGGAGTTGAATGCCTCTTCTTGTTGTAGAAAACTTCTTTTGAAACAGACCAATAAAACCAGCTTAAACACTGTTAATCTTTTGATAAAACTCACTGTAAACAAAAACTCTTGGTGTGTTGAAAGAGGAAGGCACTAGGGTATTTATACCCACTCAAAACATCAGCCAAAACAACATTAAAAAGACCAAAATACCCCTAGAGAATCAAATCAGAAAATAGCCATTGCAACACAACGGTCAATTCGGCGGTCGACCGTGAAAAGCTAGCGGTCGATCGCGAGGAACAAAAAACAGTAATATGGCTTTTGAAAGCAGGTGGTCGACCGTGACGGTCGACCGCGAAAGTCTTTAGATGTGCTACGGTCGACCGTCACGGTCGACCGTGAGCCATAAAAAGGCAAACTAGGTTTCTGGACTGCAGGCGGTCAACCACAAACTGACACAGAAATTTTCAGG